GGGAGTTGGCTATGTGGTTTCGTTTTATTTGCTTATTATATGTTAGAGTATACCATCTATAGCTTTTTGCACGTGTATTTGAAAAAAAAAATAGAGTTTGAATAGAGTAAATCATGCGTAGAATGACTCGGGACGGGTTTTTGTTTTGTATGATTCATCTTGTGGGGACCGTATATTCGGATTTGAGTTTAATTTTGTGGATAACTGGAGGAAGACGAGAGTTTCATTTCGCATGATTATTAATTTCTGACCGTTCGATTTTTCTTCTCGAACTACTTGGGACTAAATGTGGAAAACAACAAAAGTTTTGGGACCAAATTTGTAATTTTCTCCAAATTAAAAATAACGACTAACGTTCACTGTGGAAGACCGTTAACTATTGACGGAGTGGTGCCGTTTTGACAACGAAAATTTAAAAAGAGCAAGAGTTGATGTGCCTGGGACCAAATGTGGGAAACAGAAAAAGTTTTGGGACCAAATTTACAAATATTTAGCAAGTCAATTTGAGCAATCTTGCAATAATATTTTAACATTAAAAAAAACTACTTTTCAAATTATTGAAATTTCATTGCCGAAACTTATAAAAATAAAAGTAGACTAGGTAGCAGTAATAAATTGATTGAGAGTTTTTGGAAATTTTAATCAAGATTTAGATCAACCATGAATAGCATATTACCTAAAATAAATTTATCAATACGAAAATGTGCCGGCTTAATAATAATTTTTGCATAAAATTAAATAAACCAACAGAAAAATGTGTGAACAAAAAAATAAAATATAAAAGTATAATATATATACATATTTATATATATATTGGTTACCATAAAAGAATAATATATTAGCTTAGTCAAAAAGCCTATTCTCCGTTAAATTCTCGTGATTATAATGATTACGACGTTCACGATTAAATTAATGTCCCATCGTTGTTTAATCCGAAATTAATGTTAATTATGATGCTCATAACTCAATCAAATAATTGAATTGATAAGATTATTTTAGTGCTAAAAAAAATTTTAATGTCAAACTTCGCCAATTGCAAACTCATAACATCACATAAACATAGCGTGAATAATTTGATCATGAACTAGTCTAATCAAAGCTAAATCAAGTCCCATGAAAAAGTAATTAATGACTGATTAAGGTTAGTGCTAAATTTTCAATATTGTCGTGACATATCATTTATCATGTTATACTTTTCTCTAAAAAACAAATATAACTCATAGTTAAAATGTAATAATTTGAAACGCATGCGGAGAGTATAATAGAGTACGCTAAGTGTGTTCGAACAAAAAAAATAAAAATGGAAACAATTAATTAAGAAAACCTCTCACTACCTCTCTCGGTTTTTTCGTTAATAGACAGATTTGCGCGCACAAAGTACAACTTAGACTTACAAGACTCGGATTCCCTTATAGTCTAACCAACATTATACCTGACTCTATTAACTAATCATCTGGCTACGAACGTGGACTTCACAATAGCTATGAATCTCTCTCAGCTATACCAGTACTTAAACCCTAAGTACAAAAAATGTTTGTAAAAATTGAAACCAAACGCAGTTCTTCACTTATGTAATAACACTGAAAAACAGAATACAATAAAAGCTCGAAAAACAAAATCTCACAAACACTCAAGGAAGTCTTTGAAATAATGAACTCTAGATAATGCATGCATCAGCCTTATCAGTTGAGTCTGTGTAGGTATATATACAATCTCCTCAATGCAAGGTGACTCCAATCTTCATTCTTTTTGGAGTTGATTTCCTCCACTCTTTAAACTCCAAAATATGGCTGATACCTTCATACATGGAAGCCAATTTTTTTCATGTCAAGGTTCCTCCATCAACTTTCTCTTTTCATTAAATATGAGATTTCTTGCACATAGCCAAAACAAACATTATGGAAATATTATCTTGATATAAATAAAGTCTATGAGATACTAAAGAAAACTTTCTATACTTAATAAATAAAATAGTATCTAGACTTTAATAAATATGCATGGTGCCAACAATTTCCTGCAAAAAGAAGCCTATACAACTTGTAAATAATGCGTAATAAAAAATACACTCAAATAACTGAGCAAAAATTTAATTTATTTATCTCTTGCTCTTATTTCCACCCTCAAAATAGGCTACATGTACGTGCCAATAAATTCGTGCCATAACAAATATAAAATAAGAAAATAATGCGTAAATAAAAGTGCACTCGAAAAATTGAGCAACAACTTAATTTGTTTACCTCTTGCTCTTCGTCCCCATCACAAGTGAAAGCAGTCTCACCATTAGATACTCTAGGTGGTTGGAAAGAGGATGTGAAGACTCCATCTAGAAGACAATTATTAAAAAAATAAAGTTAGGTTATTATAAAATACAAAATTACTTAATTCATAAATATTGGATAAAATATTAATTAAACCATCTAATGTTTCTCATAACCAATCTTGGAACACACGAATGCTTACAGAGTGTCTAGGGTGAGTCTACTCAATGCTTGCTCACAATTCTACCACTCGTGGTATAAACAACCTCTGAAACAAGTGTGGATACATGAATGACATAAATATCTCTAGCAATCAAATGTAATGTCTTCTACCTAATTTGTATCTCGTCCACCAAGTCAAGATATCAAAGTCAACATTTTGATACAACAAATCATCTGCCGAGTATTTATCGAAATCATACTTATCATTTTGACTGTCGCACTACTCGAAAAAATACTCTTTAATATTATCAATAGGCACAATGAAGTTTGTGGAATATGATCCAAACATTGGTTTGCTTCTTTTGACAATACAAAAATTTGATGATGATTGGCTCCCACTAACACTACTAAAAGCATATGAAGGCTTTGCCCTATATGCTTTTTCACATTCATACAAGACATTTTAGTTCTTCTCCTTAATTCTCAATTCAAGCATCAGCTCCAAGTAGTTTGTCTTGGTAGTAATCAATCATTTTGAACTGGAATCTAAGAGGTAAGATGAGAGTAAGTGAAATAATAAGATGTATGTCCCCCCCCC